AATGGATAATTTTTTAAATAAACAACTATGTATTTTTTTATCAATTTGATTTACATTATTCTATTTATAAAGATATTAAAGATATACAATTATTAAAAAATTAATAGTTTACAACATTTAATATTTTATGTCAATATGGGTCAGAATAAAATATTAAATTTTTCGTAAATCATTGATTTTTTGATAACTTTACTTTAATACTTTTATATGCGGAATAACCAGAGTAATTTATATCATATTATAAATAAAATTATACAATTTCATTAAGAAAGATGACGATACCTGTCATAGGGCCTTAAAAAAATTGATTTTTTCGAAAATTATTATGTCAATACTTGGGTCCCTTTAAATTGTAGAATTTTTGAAACACTTTTGCGTATCATTCATATTTTCTGATATATTCGACTCATTATGTTTGAAATAGATCACTCTGTATAATTTTTAACCGAAATTTCGGACTCTAATTATAGTAATATAATTATTCTTTGTATGATTTTGTTACTGAAATATTTGCATATAATTCAAAAATGAACTTTCTATAAAAATATATCTAATAATTATTACGTATTTTCCGATTTATAAATTAGCCTTTAGTAAAGTTCAAGAGCCACTTATATTACGAGGAAAAAGATCAAGTACAGGAAACTCTAAAAGCTCTACGACCTTTAGAAGGCAGCAAAATTATATACTACAAAAACGGAATGAACCAAGGTGATGCCTTTATAGATATCAACAAAGGCGCGTATTATCCAGGGATTTCACTATATAAGAGCGCGATGGTTTCTGTGAATTTTGGACCGAATTTTAAATACCCTCCAACGGATGTTACGTTTAGAGGCGTAAGTAAACTCACATTTCTTACTGTTCAAGTAAATTCACGTCTTTACTGCTATCTAATAATCGACAATGTTAATTCACAATCGTAGATGGAGATACTTTATATATTTGAACATATAGAATTTTCAATTCATGTCGTCGGCTTAAAATAAACTTTGCATTTATATTACTCAAAATGTGTGCAATTCAAATTGATATTAGACTAATAAGTTATTTGAATCAACGCTAAAAGTCAAACACTGATAAAAAAGAAGTCAATATGTCATGTTATATTTTAATGTTTTAACTTTTAATATGGTCTTTCTCAATGATACATTCTATATAATAAAATAAAATCTTTTGAGTATCGCCTTTTTTTATAGTTTTTAAAATAATAAATTATCTTCATATAATATATTCACAATTAATTAAAATCACCATGATTAATCTATTGTATGTTAATTTATCCTCTTTATTAAATTGCATCAAACTTAAGTTATTCTAAGATACGTACTATCTAATCTTGAGGAATCATTACACTGTCCAATAATAACATTTCACAGGATGTTCAGTACCCTCCATAAGCTTGGGAACACCCTACGTTTTACAGGTTTGTAATTATTTAAATGAAAAAGACGAAATAAAAGTATATATATATGTATGTTATTCATAACGTATGTATATATGTATTTTTATTTTGTCTTTTTTCAATTAAAGATTTAATAACATACTATTAAAATATGGAATTTTAATTAAAATGTGATTCATACGAAATCTGATTCTTCGGAGCCATTTTACAATTTTTACGGAAGTCTGAAATCAACTTGCAACTCAAATAGTTTATCACTTTTATAGAAAAACGTTAAACTACAATTAAATGACTTGTGAATATATAATACAACAAACACAAGTACGACGTTACAAAACAAGTGACAAAATACGTATAAACAATCAAAGCGCGAAATTCAATCTTGAGCACTTCGATGCTGTGAAATGATTGTCCAACATATTTTTGGCAACATATTATTATATTTGTATAAGCTTATAAATGTTTTAGATAAATGTTTGTCGTCATTTAGATTTCTTATGAAGTATTTAAATCAAAAACATGATCGCTGTCACGTAATGGCTTTCCAGCAAAACGTAGGGTGTTCCCAAATAATATGAAAGATACTGTATATTTAGACTATACTAAAATCAATTCATTAACAAAAAATGTGTATAATTCTTTCTCTTACGTACTTGTATTCAGAGAGTAAAAAAATACTAATAAAATTGTATTTAAAATATATATTGTATATTTCAAATACTGCCCACTCTTGACTGAGACATAACGCTAAAAGTTGTTGTACACTAAACGTAAATAAGGATAAATGATGCATTATGCACATCATACATGAAATGGAACGTATTTTAGATTGAATCAACAATCGTGCAACTTTAACTTTAATAAAAAAAATTTGTACATAATTTAAATGTATTTAGTATTTACAATTTTAAAATACACAAAATACTAAAAAAAAAGTATTTAAATGCAAAACACAAAATATTCTCAAAAAAAGTATTCAAATATAAAATACAAAATACAAAAATGTATTTAAATACGTATTTTAAATATATATCTTTCAAATACTGCCCCCCCCCCACCTGCTTGTATTACTCATCAAACTTTCAATTTTACAGGATTTAGTTTTTTATAATTCTAACATCAATAATTCTTACTAATGTTACATTAAATAATTATTATAGATGCACGAGAAGGCGGAGGAAGCGATAGCCGAGCAGTCAATGGCGGACATACTCTATCTTACCGAAAATGAAGGCAAATTAAGACTGGATACATTCGTATTGTGACATTAGTGTATCTTTTTATTTTTGTCATTTTCGTTATACATTATGCAGTTACGATTGCAGGGATGAACACAACAATACATGGAGCAAAAACAAAAAAAGAAAGAAATTGAATTATGAGAAATTTTTTAATTTATATTTATTTGTGAATATATGCATGCTTAATTAAAAGTTTTGGTATATAGTGAAATAAATTCAGAGAAATAATGAAGGGGAAAGCGTTGAATATCATCAATTAAAACTTGTGCTTCATTGTATTGTTGAACCAAAACCTTGCAACTAATAAAAGATCGAATGAAACAATAGTTGAGAAGATGATTCAAATATTTTTTGAAAAAATCCTAAAGTTAACGATTGATAAAATGACATTTTGATTAATAAACTCTTAATTTTTGTTATTATTTTTATCTCTGTATTACAATATAAATATTTTAATTCTGTTTTATTTCATGTCCCGATTTTGCAAATTAAAAAGTTTTTTTTCATTATCTGACTTTGTCTGGTATACAGAAAGCATTTCATACATAATTATCTTATTTAATAAAAAAAAAATATTTATGTAAATCGCAGCGGAATATGTTTATTATGTGATACTTATGCTATATAAATTATTTTCGCAACTTAAATTATTACCTTTATATTTATAATTAATCGTTAAATAATTACACGTTACTTTCCGAAACCGCCCCTGCAAGCAGGACTTGCAGCCACTGTTTTATTGCTTGCTTCCCATTGCTCTGGTGTTTTTGCCTTGAAGAGAACAATAATGTACATAACAATAATTTTTTATCTAGCTTATTGTAAAAAGGGTACTATTTTTCTTACATGCTAATAGTGAAGAATTAATAAATAATAGTCATTACTTACTATAATTGATAGAGCATGTACACCTCCTTTCAGTTCTGCTTGCAATAACTGGTTTATCATTCGGTGTCGCTAAATTAATAATTAATTCAAGTATCCTTTCCATTATACTAAGTACGCGAAATAATATCTAGTTTTTAATCTCGTAATTATTAAGTTTATAAATGAATACAATTTATTTTTTATTATTTTATTTGCTTCAAATAACGCTATTATTTTCCATATGATTTATTTTCATATATCTTATACCTTATATTTTATTCCATAATTAATTAAAATTTTTTTTTAATCCAAGAGGATTTAAAATCAATTATTAAAATGAAATATTTAATAAGAGATTTAATAAGAGAACATTTAATTAGAGAAAATTAAAAATCGATGGTACTTGCCTTGATTAATGGCTGCTTATCAAATGTTTCTGCTACAACCACTACCTTAAAATGTGTCTCAGAGTTTTTGGGAACATTGTGCATATAGGATTCGTTAATAACTTCGCAGTGAAGGGGTTTTAGTGCAGCTTCCAATTTTTCCTTAATTGAACTCTCTATAGGTCTGATGAGTGTTTCACAACTACTCATGTCTTGTTGATGACGAATCATACTGTAATCTATGTTATTGTTTTATTATTCAATTAACATTAATATCTATCATTATTACAAATAATGTGTATTAGGCAAAAAGGCCTTAAAAGGCTTTAAAAAAGTACCAGTAAATAAGGATAAATTCTGTCTTGCAGAACTTAAAGTAACTTTTAAAAATCCTTTGTCCCAAGAAGTATGAAAATAAGCTATTGACTGCGTTCAGCAAAGCAGCTTTGCAATTGTTGTAAAATTCTTCAGTATGATGGATAGTAACTTTTAAAAATCCTGTCCTAAGAAGTACGAAAATAAGCTATTGGCTGCGTTCAGCAAAGCAGCTTTGCAACTGTTGTAAAATTCTTCAGTACAATTGGTTCCATCGCGAGATAGAATTTGGCCTTATTTACTCCTTATATTTTAAATGCTAAGATTACTATTTAAAAAATAAAACAAATATCTGCACTTGTGTATTAATTGCTATGATGGTAGTCAGAAGACTTAAGATGTTAGAATGAAAATTATTGAAAATATATAAAGATATTAGTTATACATATAGTTTACTTAAGAGACTTATAGAAAAGTAGATTGAGAAAATCTAGCTGATGCCCAATTTTTTCACTTCTAGATAAGAGATCTATATTATGGATAACCTTATCCAAGAGATCTCCATTGTGGGAGATACCTCTTGAATAAAGTTATCTAGAGGTGAAGAAATTAGACATAAATATTCCTGTAAGCATGACGTTAACAATATATTAGTAGATTGCTAGCAGATTAAAGCAGACTATTGTGATAAAATAATCAGTTACGTTTGCATTAAAGTCCATTCTACAATTGCATTAAATTAACCAATTACAATTAAATATTCTTCTCATGTTCAACTGTAATTGGTCATTTCTTATAATTACCATTGCTTACAACTATGCTTATATAATTGTGAAACAAGTTTAAGCCTGTATTCTGCGATCAGAATTTATTGATATAGAATACTTTTCATTTAGATACAAATCGACATAAGTATATATCTTTGTTACTCTCTGAATAGAGATCAAGAAAAATGGAATAATATTTGTATTGACTTGTGTCGCTAAATGAAAAATACCTATTATTTGACAGCAAATTGTTCAGGAATTAAGTAGCCTGTTAATTGCTAATCCTTTAAGTGAAATATCATTAAAATGATTACAAAATCTGTTCGGTTTCTGCATTGATTGATCATTATATTTCATTAATAGATTCTGTTGACATTTTGCTAAAATTAATAGTACATGCTTTACAAAATCTGTTGCTGACAGATTTGACTATCTAAAATGAAGCATGTTCACTGATGCTCACTCCTTATAGATTTTAACGAAATTTTATCCACATATGTATTTTAATGTATAAAATAAGCGTGCGATAATAAAAATCATCACTAGGCATTGCAAGTTGCAAGAAGAGCAATCAATCATTAATAAGTAATATTTTTAAGGTTAGGAAATTGTACCTTTGTGAGTCTTCCAATGTAACGCGTTTTTATATAATTATCTTATAATTATTTGTAACCAATTACTTTGTCATACGTATGAAAAATAAATTTGTTATTAAAATACGCGTACAATAATATTTGCTCTAGTAGAGGAGAAGCAGTAATGAAAATGCAATCTTAGTTTTTAGTTTAGAGCATATAATTCTTATCATCTTTTAGATGTAAAACAATCACTTTAAATACTCACTTTTTTTAAGTATTAATCTTATCGGCCTTGCTTTATGCATTTATTTAATTTATATATATATATATTGTGTGTGTGTGTGTGTGTGTATATAGATAATTGTTCAGTTTAGCCAAAATCGATGAAATTAGGCTCGTTGAACGCGTTTTTGGCCGAAACGAATGAATCTGGCCGAGAAAAGCTCGCTCTGCCCCGCAATTTGAGATATTTAATCGTTAAAGTTCACAACTATTCAGGTTAGGAAATCTGTCAGCCATGAAATATTGCGATGCGAGCAGCGAGCATGTCATAAAGCAGGGAACACAACTCTTGCATAACGCATACAGATAAGGCATAAGAAATTTAACCAATCAGAGTTCTTTATTTCATTCAATCGCATCAGTGATTTTATTTCTATCAGAATTAAACTCGCTAGAGAATCAAATGCTTGGAATTGATCAAGAATTGTCATTCGAGAATTGGGGAATCGCTCAAAGAAATTCAACTAATGGTTAAAATAATATATAATTTAATGCAATGTTTATAACAAGAAATTCTTTTACAGTAATTTATCTCATGTTCATTAAGTTATCTCAATCATATTAGAATCGTAATACCATAAAGCGAGAAATGATACATTAAAATTTCTTGCATCAAAAGTTCTAATTCTTCATATATTTATAATTAATATTTATAATTAATTAATGTTTGAAATTACATGCTTACATTATTTCCGACAATAAAGTAATTATTATATAGATCAATCTTAATATGAAACAATTACTCTAACTTTAAATGATACACATATAATTAACATAATCTTTTTTTGTACTTTTTATGCATTTACATTCAAGACTCAATAATACATTTAGTATTTATTTTAATAAATAGCATCACTCAATACTTTTCTTATTTATCTGATTATCGCTCGACGATATAGAATGTTCGCTTCCTATTATTTTGATGCATTTATTGATATTTTCGGCACTGGAATGTTCACTGCCATTTGATCCTTGCTGTTGTTTTGATCCTTTCGCTCTTTCTACAGTCAATGCCTCATCCTCATCATTGTCATCAGAATCCTCAAATTCGTCGGAATCAATTTCTAAATCTAACATGGTTTTACGTTTATTGGGTTTATTGTTCTCCTCTTGCTTCCTCTTGATACCCGATGTGCTCGCAGCTTTGAATCCTTCTTCTATAGCATCTCCAACTCTCTCAGTCAATTCCGCACGTTCCTGGTCATAACGCTGATCTTTAAATTCATGTTTTGGCTCAGTGCAGAGTTTTTCTAGCTTCTTTTTCTTGCGTTCCACCTGCTCCTTCTCTCTCTTGGCCTGTTTGTCAATCCAAGCCTTCAGCCTCTTTTCTTCATTTATGTCGCGCAATCTGCGACCGCTAAGATCTCTGCAAGCTTCGCGATTTGTAGTTTTCTCAATCTGCGCGCCTATCGCGCGTAACATAGATCCAAAACCACCTTTGCCACCCAACAGCCTTGGAACCACAGTTGCATAGCCATTGGAGCAGATATCATCTTCCTGTACGAGTCGACCATTGTGCAGGACATAATATTGACCACATGAAAGATTCTGAAAAAAAGAATTATTAATCCGTGTGTGATATTTCTTTGTTAATATTATATTTGATAAGTTTTATTTGATAACTTATTAAATTTTGATAAAACATTCTTTCCATGCAAAACAAGGATTAAAAA